CGGGCACCCTCGATAAGCGGCAACGGAATTGGTACCGTTGCTTTTTTTTTTTTTTTTTTTGAAACAATTGCTCCAATCTATTTGTGGGGAGCAGCACGTGCTGGGAAGCGGGCCAAGCATCCCTGATAATTGGAATACATTAATGATTCATGAAATTTGGGATGATTCAGGAATATTTCAGGATGATTGAGATAATAAGCTAGAGTTTGATGCTGACTACTCAGAATGCTTATCTACTCAGATCCTACATAATACCATAACCCTAATCTAAGATATCCATACTAACCAGCCAGTCTCTACGGAGTCAATAGTGTACACCAACCAAGCCTCTGCCCGGTCTCACACCCCAATATAGCTAGGTTACAGGGCAGCGCCACCCACCCCAGCGCGGACCCTCGTCTGCCAGATTGTAGGCTTTGGTCAAGCATTGTAATTGCCTTCCACCCTCAACAATCCCCATATCTCTATCCAAGGCCTCGAGCTCCTTATGAAGGTTACAGGGCGATGCCCGAGCACCGGCCAGCGTCGTTTTGGTTTCTACTGAACCTGGGCAAGAACACAATAAAAACTCAATTAGGAGTAGACTAAAATTTTTTTTTGAAAAATCTGTGTGATATCCCTCTATCCTAGCGGTGCTAAGAGACCGCCAAGATTGAGGGCTTATCTGTCGGGCTGCTCCATCTATTGGTGGGGAGCAGCGCGTGCTGGAAATCGGGTCCAGCGAACAACCAATCTGATGATGATGATGATGATGATGATGATGTTGATGATGATGATGATGATGATGATGTTGATGATGATGATACTCAATGTTTATTGGTGCTGATAAGAGTAGACACCGCTAGCACCAGGGAAGAGGCTCCATCTATTAGTGGGGAGCATCACCTGCTGGAAAAGGGGTCCAGTATCCCATGTACAGACCAATTTTGGAATAGATCAAAACAGGATTGTGTGGGGTTCCTTCCAGCATTGATTACCCTGGAGACCAGGGGATTGACTGAGCAGGCTATTGGAGGGAGGGGGGAGCCTCGTCGCCCTGAATCTAGCGCTAGATCCCTGCTGCTATACCCTGGTTCCTCACCCCCCCTTTTTTTAAGCTAAGAATATCTATAGGAATTTAGAAAACCATGAGCCACCCCTACCCCCCTTTATTCTTAAAAGTTCTGATTGCCAGCATTGACTGCCCCATTAGCTGGGGGGTTGGCTGTGCAATCGATCTTCCTGATAGTCTGTCCTATATTCCAGCGCTGTATCAACATTTTGTTGCAAGGGTGATGTTGAGGCCTGGTTGTCAGCATTGACTGCCCAAGTAGCTGGGGGGGTTAACTGTGCAGCCGATCTTTCTGATAGTCTGTCCTATATTTCTAGCGTTGTATCAACATTTTGCTGCAGGAATGATGATCAGTCCCCGGAGAGGCACCGGAGACTAAAATACTCTGTCGCAAGGGTGTGTGGATGTTGTGGGGAGGGGATGGAAGAAGAAGAAAAAGAAAGCGGGGGAATAAAAAAAGGAGGGAAAAGAAGAAAAAGAAGGAAGAGAAGAGGAAAAAAGAAAGAAAAAAAAAAAAGGAGAAAAAGAAAGAAAAAAAAAAAAAAAAAAAAAAAAAAAAAAAAAAAAAAAAAAAAAAAAAAAAAAATAGGAAAGAGAGAGAGAGAGAGAGGGAAAGAGGGAGGGTGCATGTGTTCATACGTTCTCAATCCTCGTGGATGACAAACTGCTTTGCAGATGGTTCTTAATTAGGTGCATTACTCGAAGTGTTGCATGTCTCTCCNGTTCATACGTTCTCAATCCTCGTGGATGACAAACTGCTTTGCAGATGGTTCTTAATTAGGTGCATTACTCGAAGTGTTGCATGTCTCTCCCTCTAGGAAGTGGTATGAAAATGAATAACGTTGGCGACGTGTTTCATCAAGTCAAAACTGAGGCAGCCCGACTACCATCTCGACTGCATTAAGATTATTGTTGAAGCCAACCCCTCGTTGGCTGCTGCATGTTTTTTTTTGTCTATCGAGTGGACCCAAGGAGGTCGGATTTTATTTTGCTTGTATTATCGGATGTGCCATATGGTGATTCAAATTCTTTCAGTTCTCATTTCAGATTGAATACACCTTCTTATCGACTACGATGTTCTTTTGATGTAATTTTGTGTGGTTGTTATAACTTTCTGTTGAATGTGTGTCTAAGGGACTATGAGTAATATTTGGGTTTCACGCTTGGTTGAGACTGTCCTAGTCGACCGGTGTCCACTTCATACTTAGGAGATCAGCGCCCTAAGGGACGAACGACGCTCGGGTATGCTTGGCGTTTAACCGCGCGTACCTATACTACAACGAGCGAGCAAACACCCTCGGCTGACCTACCTCTACAATTGCATTTAAAAGCTTTCGCACGTGGGTCAGTAGCTCGGTAGGGATAAACCCCTAAGGGTGGTGACAGCCTCTTCGGGAAGGTAAGTTGTGCCCCGAGGGAACCTATCCTGTCGTATGGGACTGCGGGAAGTACAACTGGCGCACCTGACTAGAACAGCAAAGGGACAACGCGACAACGTCCGTCTTGACGGTTCGCGGGGTTATTTTGCGTCGTTTCAGAGTTATCTCTTGTTTTGTTTTGTTTTTGACTCCTGCGTGACATGGTCGGGAGGGATCTCGCCTTTTGCGAAAAAGGCGGGAGCCGATGCACTCGACACCACTTTCCCACCCCTACGCCCCCTCTGGTGTCTCTGACCACTGCTGGTTGTGGGTTAAGTCAATACGCTCTCCCCGACCCAACATGGTATTATTGCTTCTGCTTCGACACGCCAATTTTTTCCTAAAATTGGGGGGGGGGGAGGGTGATAAAAAGGAGTTATGTCTCCCACAAATAAAATCTTAATGCTTACGGGATGCCCCACATTCTGGGCTTGGTGAAGAATATCTCTTGCGGCTCAAGGGACACAGGGCCCAGGTCCCACATCTGTAGCTCTCCATGCATGGAGCAAAGCCATCATAAACAATCAAACCCTTGACCAGGCGCGGGCTGTTATCCCTTGTCTGATGGAGGGCCTCACGACATTATCTTTTTCTTTGTCTTCTTCATCTTCTTCTTCCGACAAAAACAGGGGTAACTACGGCGCAGTCACCTTCTCAGTTCTAAATCCACTTCAGGCATCCCTTGAATACAACACATCCCCACCAACCTTACAGCTGGGTTGGATACATTCACAATTTCCCTCAGTTTGGAGCAAAAGTCGCGAAACCGCATTCAAAACTGAAAACCTTGACTGCACCCTAGTTTCCCCAAAAAAAAAAACAGAAGGAAACAAGTAAAAAAGGTGGAAAATGAGAGGTTTGTAAACAATTTGAGGAGGCCTCAGCATTTAGGTTTTTTTTAACTTTTTTTTTTTATAAAGAAAATATCATAATATGTGGATTTTATTGCAAGCTGGGAGCTGGGCCCAGCGTCCCTCACATCAATAGCTGTGTAGGTTTCCCATATACGAAGTTAAAAAAAAAAGGGTAACTTCGACGCAGTAACGAAAACAGTTTGAAATTGCACTTCAGGCAATCCCGCGAACACAACACACCCCCACGTGACCCCACCTGTCCCGAATCGTTGGTTACATACATTCAGCATTACCGGCCCTTTTGCCTCAAATGCAATTACAAACTCAAACCCTGACTGCGCCGTAGTTTTCTCTAAAAAAAAAGAAAAAGAAAAAAAAATTCCTGGTGTGACCTTTTTTTTTTTTTTTTTTTTTTTGAAGTCCATGGTGTTGTAGAGGCTAGTCACTGAGTGCATTGTGATCAGCCGGAGCACTAGGCCATGGGTGTCCTGGAATATGAGACCACCTCCCATCCCTTCCTCACGTCAATACTCCAAGCGCACCCCTTATCCTACCTCAGTGTGACCAGCACTCAGGACCATTACCCTACCAATGGGCTATCCCACTATCCTACCTCAGTGTGACCAGCACTCAGGACCATCACTCTACCAGTATCGAGGGGAACTTGGACCGAACAGTAGTGACAGGCACCAGGGCTGATAGGTTGCTCAGCCCTAATGGAAGTGGAATCGGACGAGACTTGTCGAACGGGAACTTCGGACGCCAGGCCCAGACAATCTACTACAGGCCCCAAGAGACTCTGGGCCCTAGGTTCAGACAGGGTAGCACCCATAGAAGCAGTCCCACTATCCTTTTTTTTTTTTTTTTTTTTTTCCCATTAACTTTGTATACAGGGAACCTACTTAACGAGGTGATAAGAGCATCCTCGGTAAGTATTGGTGGGGAGCTACACCTGCTGGAAATCGGGTCCAGCGTCCCTAAACAATGATGTGAATGTATCTGCTGGAAATCGGGTCCAGCGTCCCTGTGCAATGATGTGAATGTTGTTGAGTGTTCCTGCTGGAGATCGGGACCGGCATCCCTGTGTGCGACTGTGTATTCTTCATCAATCTATAGATTCTATCCATGTCCCATGGGGGAAAGACCTTATCCTCCCATTGTCTATGTCCTACTGTGTATCTGGTACTATCAGTACTTGTTCATCAATCAAAGCATCAAACAAACCATGCCCCATGGCGAGCAAGGCACCATGCCCAATTCTGTTGATGACACCAGAAGACGAAACCCTAATCCTGACTTGATCTCTGTGCAAGAGGGGAAAACCCTATATTCCTATACTACTGTTTCTCCATATCAAGCGAGGCCTCAAGCCCCATCCTGTCAATCAACCAAGGGTCGAACCCCAAGTATAGGAGTCCTATGTATAACCTGGAGATCGGGTCCAGCTATCCTATACAGCAGTGAATGAAGCCAATCAGCATATATGCGAAACTCACGTGTATTTCGGAAAGGAGGAGAGGTGTTGATTACTTCCCTTCACACAGGGGAAGAGTTGCCCTTCAGCGGATAAAGCACTTATCCCCTATTCAATGTTGTGTGGAGATGATAACGTCTGAAAAAACGTAGCTCACCCCACCCTAAACAAAGAATCTAACATCAAGACGTAAGCATCAAACCCTTCATGAGGCCACACGAATAAGAGGCCACGTGAATAAGAGTTGAGGGTGAGAGTAAGAGTTTTGAGATTATGAGAGTTGAGAGAAGAACATCTATCCAACTCCCACCCGAAGCCAAAAAAGAGCAAATGGATCATCAGAATGAAACACCAGGTAGGAATGGGGGGGAACGGTAGATTTCACCTTCAACCTCAAATCCCACCTCACCAGCCCCCCCGTCATTAACTCTCCCGCCTTCGTTGTGGCAACCTTCAACCACAAGCCCCATGTCTTGTTGCTGTTGTTGGTGTTCTTGTTGTTGTAATTATTGTTGTTGTTGTCGATGTTGTTGTTGTTGTAATTGTCGTCGCTGTTGATGTCGTCCCACGCGCTCTTGCCGCCCATTTCGCTTGATCCCATCAACCCCAAATCGCTCTTCTCAAGCCCTAACAAGGTCGTAGTTCCCTCTCCCTTCGCTGTTGGCGGCATCTCTCCCCTGTTGTTGTTTTTACTGTTGTTGTTGTTGTTGTTGTTGTTGTTGTTGTTGTTGTTGCCGTTGGCAGCCTCACTACCCTTCTCACCAATCTCACCCATTACCTGTCTCTCATCCACTACAGCCACCACCCCTGCCGTGATCAATGTGTTGTTGTTGTTTTCGTCGATAGTGTTGTCAACCCTCCCACCATTGTCACCGGTCTTGCCCATCACCTGCCTGTCCTCCCCGGCAGCCACCGCCTCTGCCATGATCCCCTGCGCAACCTCCCACTCCTCTGCCCGGTCACCATCCCACTGCTGCAGATGGGTTGTCAGTCTCAGTGCCAAACTGGAATGGGCTCATCCTCAGATTCTCCCACCATCCACCAACCCCCCCATTGAAGTTATTGTTGCTGATGGTATTATGATTGTTAATACCCTTGTAGATGTTGTTATTGTAGCTGCCAGTCTCTTGCTCGCCAAACTTACCCATTCTCTGCTCCTCTTCCACGTTAACCCCCGCTTCTACCATAGACCCCTGCTCCTCCTCCCCCACCTCCGGCTGGTCACCGTCCCCCTGCTGCACGAAGTCTTCATCATCCTGCAATCCCCCATCCTTGTAGACCGTGGTAAGAAGTATTTGGCCACATCTCCCTCATCCTGCCCATCAACCTCTCGCTGGCAGTCGTCATCATGCGTGAAAAAAGGCATATCGCTGTCATCATCAGTGTGAAAGTTGACAACGTCTTCTCCCACTTGCTCATCCTCCCCACTTCCCCCATCCTCGTAGACCGCGGTAAGATGTGCATAGTATTTGGCCACATCACCCTCATCTTGCCCATCAACCTCTCGCTGGCCGACGTCATCGGCCGTGTAAAAAGGCGTGTCGCCGTTCTCATCAGTGTCAAAGTTGACGACGTCTTCTTCCACCTGCTCATCCACCCCGCTTCCCCCATCCACGTAGACGGCGCCAAGAAGTGCAAAGTAATTGATCACGTCCCCCTCATCTTGGCCATCATCCTCTCTGATCCAAACGTCATCAACCATGTCAAAAGACGTATCTCTATGATGTATCTCCCCCACCAACCCCTCTCTAACCCGGAAAAATGCGCCCCTATTCGTGTGCTCATCATTTCCACGGCTGGTGCAACCCCTGTCCGCACGTTGTCGGTCATTCACGACACCTACAGCAGGTGCCACGTGGCCAATCAAAGAGCCGCGGGCATCTGCCGGGCGCGCGCCACAGGCCCAGCAACCGGGGAGCTCCTCTCCCCGGGCGCTAATCTAGCCGGGAGGACCAGTCCTCGCTGGTCTGCCGGCCTCAGGGCGCTAGCGCTAGCGCAACTCTCCCGGACCACGATCGCAGTCCCACTATCCTATCTCAGTGTGACCAATACTCAGGACCATTACCCTACCAATGGGCAGGTAACTTGAATCGAACAGCAGTGATAGGCACCGGGGCTGGTGGAAGCGGAACGGGAACTTCGGACGCCAGGCCCAGACAATCTACTACAGGCCCCAAGAGACTCTGGGCCCTAGGTTCAGACAGGGTAGCGCCCATTAAAGCAGTCTTACCATCCTTCCCCTAGCTTACCCCAAGGCCAGGTGGAACTCGGACTGGCCTGAGCGACTTATACCCCTACCCTTACCCTAGGGTCTAAGCCTTATATAGCCACCAGACAGCACCATCCGAATATGAGTAGGGACTCTGGCAGCCCTTACCTGTACCTACTGCAGATACTAGACCTCACCCAGTGACTAGACCCCCCCAGTCTGATAGTTGTGTAGTTCGCAATCTATGTGTATACCCGAAGGCTATGTATGCGAGACTGGGGAGATCAACAGAACACCCAGGACGCAGGCAGTGTCTGTAATAGTACCATGCGTCAGTGTATGTCCAGCCGTGCGTCAATCTAGCGCCCTGCCCGTGTCCATGCGCAAGGTTGCAATTGAGTTTTGAACCCGCAACCTCATACCACAATGCGCATTTCCAACCGGTGCTCTAACCACTGAGCCACATCAACTGGACAGGTCCCGGTGTTCCCTTCATCACTGAAGTCCACTCTTGTCAGCCTGCAACAATAAGCACTTTTTTTTTTTTTTTTCCTCTGGCCATGTCATGAGCACGCGGTGACCTACGTGGGGTTCGAGTCCCCCTATGTCTTGAGCACGCGGCCTGCTAAAATGATGACCGGTAAGACTGAGTTTCGAACCGTTGACTTGGGAGGGGTTTGAGTCCCCTGTGTTTTAGAGCCGTGGCCTTTTGGGGCCTCCTGGACTTGATCTGTTGTTCTCTCTGTTGACGTCTCAGGGGCGTCGGTTGAATGGTTCAGTAGGCTTCTACTTATTGGATTCGATCTGTGGACTTTGTGCTGGAGGTTTTCTAACTATCTGTTTGATACTTCTAGTAGTACTGGGTCCTCTCCGGTCTTTGGATGTTCTAGAACTGTTGAGTGTCTGTTTTTGTTAAGTAGAGTAATTGACATGTCATTGGCACTCGACTTTGTGACGACCCCTGACGATTCCGGATCCGGCTCCGGATGAAACGCGTAGGGTCTTGCCGGAGATGTTGACCTAGGTTTGCACGATATGGACATGACGTCCACTTTTGGGTTCAACTCCATGGGCTGGTTTGACTTTGTTTATAATTTGAGCCCTTTGTCKYGTTCGGGARACAYCGATGTGTCAATTCTCGCTCCTTCTYTTATTCTCTTCACTTTACTTGGYCTCTATGGATGTCTCTGATTGTRATGGAGTCTGTCATGTACTAGGCTATATGCCGAATGAGTGTGCTGTCAGGCTATGTATGGACTCGTTAATTGCTCGTTAATTTGTGACTTCTGATGAATGTGCGAGTATACTCAACTTCATCTTAAGGATTTAGAACCACCGTAGCAATTAAACTACGTGTGCGTGACTCGTTTTTCCTGTCACTTATTACGATTTTATGGTCTGTACTTCTGATTGCGAGTTAGTAGTTTTGGCGGGGGTCCCAGGGAGAGATGGTTGTTTTCAATGTGGATCTACGAATCATTGGGCTCGAGAGTGCCCCCATCGTGGATATGGTTTTCGTCCACCTGTGACTGGCGCCAATGCCATTCCCACTGGCCCACTGCTTCTAACCTTACCTGCCCCTGGGGCAGCTTCGTCTTCCTCCGCCAACCACACCTCCACCTCTTTTGGTCCATCCTCCTCTAATCAGCGTTCAGGTAATCAGAATGTTGTCGGGTATGGTCAACAGGCTCGGCCCAATTGGTGGACACGTAATCAAGAGCGTCTCGATAAAGTGTACAACAAGTATGTGGAAGACACTGAGCGGGAGGCAAAGAAGAAGGAGGAGGAGGCGAAAGAGAAGGCGAAGAAGGACGAGGAGGAGAAACTTTCGTCTTGGAGAAAGGAACGTGAGAAGTTTGAAGAGGCCATGGGGGAACGGTTGGAAAAAAGGCTGGATGTGTTAGGTATAGGAAAGGGGAAGACAGTGGATGCTGGGAGCGGGGAGTCAAGTAACGAGGAAGCACTTAGGTTGAGGAAAGAGAACGAGGACCTTAAGCGGAAGCTTAGCGAAGCGCTGTGTCCGATTGGAGAGGATCGGGTGTTATATCTGCAGAATGAGGTAATGGAGCTGCGTAAACAAGTCGGGGAGAAGAACGTCAACGAGGATGTCATCGTTGCACTCAAGGCTGAGATTGGCGAGCTCAAGCAGACGGCCTTCATGAAGACCAACTTTGAGCGTGAAATTGCGGGTTTGCGGAAGGAGGTCAACCAGCTCCGTGATCAGAATGAGCGGGTCATTGTGGAGGTTGGCCAATGGAAGGAGCAGGCACTACGGCCTGGTAATAAGCGTGGAAGTGTTGCTCTCCAGACGCCGGATTGCTCCAATCGGGGTTCTCCCAAGCCTCGATGGACAGATAATGTGCGCGAAGAGGACAAGTGGAAAGCAGAATATAGGAACCTGCAAAGCCTCCATCGTCTGGCTAACATCGAAGTTGAGGCTCTAAAGGAAAAACGGGCGGAAGCGGAAGCTCGGAGGGCTGAAGCCGAGAAGCAAGTCAAAGCGTTGGAAGAGAAGATGGGGAAATTGATGGCAAGTGGGGAGAAGGATAAAGGGAAAATGGCATGCGGTACCAATCTCAAGGATCGTCTGGAGGAAGCTGCTATTCGCTCTGCCAGAAAGGGTGTCAAGGCTACTCCCGGAAGAACGGGTGGTAAATCTGCTTCAGTTTCCGCTCGTCCAAGTAAGGAACCTGGTCCAAGTCTGGCGACGACCACAATTAATGATCGTGCCGAGTTCGTTGAAGAACAGAAGCGTCAACTACGGATGCTGCGGAAGATCGGCTTGGAGCCGCTTTGCAAAGAGGAAGGGGTTAAGTTGGGTAAATTTGAGGATACAATTTGTGATCTTGCGGAGGCACGGGCAAGAAAAGCCTTCGGCGAAATCCAGGGTTCTCCATCCAAACGTGATGGGGAGGTACAGGAGGTGAGTGACGATACCTCCAAGCGCTCCGGTGATACCGATGAGGAAGCGGAAAGGTCCGTTGAACTATAGGATCCTTTCCCGAGCGCGTCTTTGCTTTGGTCTTTTGCCAATGATTGTCGTGTAAAAAGGTGTCCGTACGGGATCTCCCCATCTGCATCCTTTTCCTCTTCTTTCCAATCTGCTTCTTCTTCTTCTGCACCTACCTATGCTTCAGATGCTTCTTTCTTTCTCCGGGATAACGTATTCAACGCTTTCTTCCGGATGGTGGTTATTGGTATTGTGATTAGAGATCAGATTCCCTAGGCGGGGAAGTTGAAAGAGTACTTGCTGCGTCTGCTTATTGAGGGCTTTGATCTTGAGAACTGCCCTGGACCTCTGATTTATGCTTTGATATCTCCTTGGTCGAGACACTTGTATATTGGCTCTACTGCGCGATCCCTTCCTACTAGATGGAAGGGACATGTTTATCGTGCATCTAACTCTAAGGTTCTTGAGCAGGGGAAACGTAATCATCGACTATACTCTTGGATGAGGAGATGTCAAATTGGGCAATATGTGGCAATTCCGTTATTTAGTTGTGAGATTGGCGAGGTCCATGAATTGGAGAAATATGCTGTAGGTCGGTTTAGTCCACATCTTAACTGTCGGGATCTTAAAAGACGAGGAAAGCGTAAAAGGCTTGGTAAGAGGGAACGCCTGAGGAAGAAACGGAATGCTGGCATTACTGTGTTGACTCAACTTCCGAGCACTCACCTAATCTTTCATTCTACTATTGGTATCGTTTCATCTAGCATCTATGTGATCCTTGACGAATGTGTGGAACGAAATATCTCGTCTGTAGGGATTGTTTGTTCAGGGGGTGATTTGGTGGCTGGTAACCGGAAATTGGTGAAACGACGATTTGGGTCTTCGCTCGTTTGCCTGTTTGGTAATTATGAGCTGCTGCGGAAAGTGAAGCACATGTTTCGGCCGGGAAAATCCTTGACCATAATGGCAGTCGTTCCTTTTATGTCCCGATTTGCCATTCTCAAGACAACTCTTGCTGGTTTCCTCTCTAATCCTAGTACTCGCAGGGAGCTGACGAGTTGGGACTTCGCAGTTTTGGGGCAAGCATACTTAGCCGTCCGGTGTTTTTCTGAGAAGCGTTCACGGTATCTGTTACGGACTATCCTGTCTGGAGCGATTAAGCATCGTTTCAACGTCAATGTTCGACGTCGGCTGATAGTGAAAATCACTTACGATGCTGGATTGAGTAAACCGGCGATCCGAGCCTTGTGTGCTCGTATGGTGGGGTCGATGGATATCGATGAAGGATGGAAGCAGATGATTGCACGATGTATGCGTGTCATCTGGCTTAAGAACAAATGTGTGGGGGACTTTATTTTTAATTTTCGGAAGAGTGCACATGGGGGGCAATGCTCATGTACTTGTTCATCTCTGTCTGAAGGATTTCCTCAGAGTCAGGGGCATGTTGGTTTTCGCCTGAACAACTGGGAGCCTACCCCGGATTGGTTGCGAAATAATAAGAATGTGGTTTGTCCCAAACAGTTGGACGTGATAGGGAGGGTGAGACAGCAGATTCAGTCTTCCTTTTCTGGTCTCGACCTGGATGTTCCTAAACTAGGCCGGGGGGCTGTTTCCGAATGTAGCATCAGATCTGATGTCTACGTCACTGATTGTACGGAAGATAACGCCATTTCTTGGGCGAAGAGGTTGGACGGATTGGTACGTATGTCGATGTCGGGACAGAAACCCCTGGGAGGGTTTCTGCCCGAGCTTTTCAAGGTCAGACACTACCCGACCCTTCTTTTTGTTTTTTGATTGGGAGACTTGACGAGGTTGACTTTGTCAAAGTTATTCAGACCAACCCTATAATTGAGAGGCCTAAAGCCTGACGTCGTTGACGTGTGACATCATCAACCTTAGTTCAAGACATTAAGAGTCGGCGCTGGCGTCCGCGTCCCTCGACGAGGCCGCAGTGGTGCACGGTCAGGGAAAGGTTTGAGCTAGACCTAGTCTACCTAAAATAATGTCGCGCGGCTTAGCAGCCGCGCGATTCAGGGCCTAAGTAGGCTAAAAACAGGGGTGCGCCGGGTATAGAGCCGCGGCGCAAGAGGAATAGGAAGTCTGGGCCTACGAGGTTGGGGTCTGAACCAGAAGGCCAACTGGCCGATGCCGAACTCTACCCGGTTAGGTGAATACCAAGCCAGGGTAGCACGGCTGGCCGGTAAGGCACGACCAATAAGCGTGGCCTGCGATGCTCCGAACGGGCGAGGCCGACAAGGCCACGAGCTAGGGGAGCCGACCGTGCTGTTAAGGGATGGTGGGTCAGGCTCCACAACCCTTTAAGTAGGAGCCATCCCAAGAGGTAAACATAACAGACTGCCACCCCGCAGATCCGGGGATCGAATCCGTATGTGCCCTCGGGCTGGCTCCTTTTTGGAGCAGCTAGGTGAGTTGGCGCGGCCGATTTCGGCCGCGCGATCGAAGAGATCCCCAAGGAGAGCTGCAGGCGCCCGTTTTCACAGGCAGCCTGACAGGTAAGTCCATTTTGTTTTTTTTGTTAGTTTTTTTTTTTTCTTTCTTTAGATTCCTTTTATATTTTTTCAGTTAGATTCTGTTTTTTTCTTTTCTTTTCTGATTCCGCCCCCTCCCTTCGTTGCAGTGCAGTTGCTGCGCCCGTTCGTTTGGGAACGAGCTGCAACAAACAACGGCGCGCCCGAACCTGGCACTGTTGGCGCCCAAGTACGGGCGCCTATGGATCCTTTAGCGATTCAKGACTTGGAGTGGGAGGTGTCAGAAAAGTTACCGTGGGGATAGTTGGCTTGTGGCAGCCAAGCGTTCATAAGCGACGTTGCTTTTTGATCCTTCGATGTTGGTTCTTCTTACTATGCGCCTGTATCAGCGCTTTTTGTTGCGCCAGATACAGGCGCACAGCAAGGGAACGGGCTTGGGAGAATTGGCGGGGAAAGAATGCCCTGTTCAGTTTGACTCTAGCTCGACTCTGTGAAATGACTGAGGGGAGGGGGCGGCCGTTCGTTTTGAACGGCGAGTTGCCCCCTGCATAAGGAAACGAGGGGGTGGAAAAAAAAAAAAAAAAAAAAAAAAAAAAAAAAAAAAAAAAAAAAAAAAAAAAAAAAAAAAGCTGGGGGGAAAAAAAAACGGCCGCGGATTTAACCGCGGCCTCAGTCCAGATGGAGGTCTAGAAGCATCTGGACTTTGATAAGACAACAGACTGTTGGATTCAACAGTCTGCTTAAAAAGGCTTCGTACAACCTTTGGTAAGCTGCGTCTGGCCGCGGGTGAGGGCCAGATGCATTACCAAAGGTCTGAACTTAGTTCCCCTAGGGGAACAACAGGCTTTTTTGGCCCTTGATCGCGTTTTAGATCAAGGGTCAGGCCTCACTCCGAGTTTTGGCTGGGGGCGAAGCAGCTGCCCTCAGCCTCTAGCCAGCTATAAAACAGCCAGCAGCCAACCATCCAGCATTCATTTGTGGCTGGTGCAGCTGGCATTATGCTTGGGTGAATGCTGGCTACAGGAGAAGGAGCTGCTGGCGGAGTGAGAAGGAGCTGAGTGGAGGTCTGCAAGAGAGTGAGGAGGAGAACTGCTGGAGGTGGCCATATTTGTGGAATACAGTCATAGCCGCCATCTCAGCGAGGTGAAGAGAGAGAGAGAAGTGCTAGAGGTCTGCAGGGAGCATGAGAGTGAGGGCAGCCATAGCTGCCGCTACACTTGGTGGAGCGCAGGGGAGGTGCTGTTTGTTCAGCACGGCAACGACAGCGGGTTATTAGCGGTAGTGCGGAAGCGCTGCCGAAAATTTGCGGCGGCAGCTGTGCTTTTTTTGCGGTGACGCGGAAGCACTGCCGAAATTTTGCGGCGGCAGCTGCTCTTTTTTTGCGGTGACGCGGAAGCGCTGCCGAAATTTTGCGGCGACAACTGTGTTTTTTGGCAGGTGACGCGGAAGTGTTGCCGAAATTTTGCGGTGACAGCTGTGGTTTTTGACGGTGACGCGGAAGCACTGTCGAATCCTTGCAGCGGCGACATTGAAGTTTTGGCAGTGGCGTCGGAGTGTTGTCCGGTTTTTATGGCGGCAACGACAATTTTGAGGAGTGTTGTCAAGAGGGGGTGTGCTTTGAGGTAGTATTGCGGCGGCGACGCCTCGACATAGTGGTGGCGTAGTGGTACTGGTCGCAAGTGGTAGCAGATCTGAGGGGATTGTGTGTCAGTGGGCGATCCTCTTGAGGGAGTGGTGTGAATCACTTTCCTGACAGCTTACTGCGGCGATCTTCTCATTTGGAGTGTGGTTTATACGACTTTCTTGAGTGGGCCATTTGCTATCTTTGGACCATCTTCACTCAAGGTCAGTTGAATGACTCAGGTTTCCCTTCACACCTGTGTGAACCCACACTTGCCTGACCCTGTTCTTTGAATGTTCACTGAAAAGGTAGAGGAAGTTGTGTTTTGTTTGCACGTGTGAATGAAAGTCTGACATGAGTTTGGGACTGCATTGTTTTCTTTTGAATTTGTTGTTTGATCTGATGTGCAGGTAAGTAGAAGAATGTTTGAAAAATGGAGATTTAATCATGTCAGCGAAAGTGAATGGAATGATGATTGTTTTTTTTTTTTTTTGCTTGCATGCATGTTGAAAGGGTGGGAAAACAGCAGACGACGAGGAACGGAGCGATCACACAAAGGAGAAGAAGTGAATTGGACGTAGATTTTTCCCGAGGTTACCCATTCTTTCCCGAATGACCCCCTCCGTCTATGCCCGTCTGTCTGAATGACTTCCTCTTCTATGATCTCCTTCATCGTCTAGGTTCGCCCCTGACGTCAGGCGATAAAGGGCCGCCCGTCTGCTGTGATAAGTACATTTTCTTTCCCTATGAGGCATCTGAGGCGGGGGGTCTTTGCCTTAAGGGCCGACCCTGTTAACGACTCAGAGTGGACCGCTTAGGCGGGGGGATATCATGCTGTTGTGGTGGAGCCAGCCCGACTTCTGAGATCCAAGGTTCGCTCAGGCGAGGATGAGGGGTATCCCAGACCACCTCCTAG